TCAAGCTTGGCCCGACCCCAGAAACAGAGTCTCACTGCTTTTGTATGCTTGACTTGTTGGGCTTTCTCCTCGCCATCTGGAATGGACAAACTCTGAGCTGCAGCTTCTCTAGTTTGGCGACGATCGCAAGTATTGCAAGGTTGAAGTTGTTGAGTTTGGCAGGCAACAAGCCGGCAAACAACGTTGTCAAAACGACTGATGTCCAAACTGAACGGTAGAAAACAATAGCAATGTCCGACAGCCATGTCGTCCGGCTTCATATGTGAACCACGGCAACGTGCTGTGAGGCCTGTGCATGAGAAGAACCGCCTGAAATGCAAAGCAGTAAATTAACGATCAAGACGGCAGGTGTGAAGGAGCTGCCTTGGGGCAAAAACCTGCAGGTCCTGTTGGGTTCTTGAGGGTTTTGTTGTCTGTTGGAGTTCGCTGCTTCCGTCAGATTACACTGTGGCGCTGCTTCCCCTTCAAAGGCGGCTTGATGTGCCGGAGACTTGATGGATTACGTTCAAGCCACAATCGGTGTCAGCAATATTGAGGAATCTTTGTCTGCGGCGGCGGTCCCTCTTTCACACAAGTTTTGACTTCCTGCTCTGCTTGCAACTCGTGCAAGAGTTTAGATAGTACTAAACCACTGCGTTGAAATATGCGTTTGTGCGCAAATGCTGCTGAGGCCAGCTGGCTGGGCGTGGAGCGCATTGTAGCAATGCCTCGTGGAGCGGACAGTCACCAGCCGGGAAAAATCAGGCATCCTCAACTAGACAGCATCGTCGAACAACCTGCCACGACCGAGCCCCGTGCAAGTGCTCTTGTCCGTCAAAGTTTGCGAACACAGCGCTGTTCTCCTCGCCATCGAGACAAGCTCGACATGTCGGGAAACAGAGACCGCAACACAGATAGGCTGGAGCTCGAAGAGCAGTGACTGGATTGGAAGGGATGCAATGTGAGATGAATAGGCTCTTGTGAGACAAAATATCTCCGTTCTCGAGACAGTCAAGACAATAGTTGTTTGTCCGCCTCCGTGAATCGTTGCACGAAGTCCAAAAAACCCTCGTCGGTCAGCCTCATACAATGACACGGGAAGACTCCAGAGAACAGGATGCAGTTTCGCACCATACACAGAGTACTGTGCATGACACAGGCATTTCAAAAGCAGTCCAACACGCTCCCCGCCTGTCCACCAGTTCACGAAGCTGCTCGTCATCCAGCGGCACACCGGTCTCCACCATCGCGACAGGACTGTTACGAGTGCGCCGGTCTTCTCGTACAATGTATCCGCGGTACAGATCCTCGAGCTCTACAGGTAGGCCAAGTGCTGCCCTTGCTGTTGAAACCTGGCTCCGAGAACTTCGGCCGGCGATGGGTCGCAAACATGATACGTCAATAATGTCGCATCGCATCCAATGCCCCATCGCATCCGATTTCACCGACAGAGCATCACGCCGCTCCGTACCATCTTCTTCTTCCTCATCATCATCGTCATCATCATCATCACCCTCACCATCACCGACATGAAGATCATCACTAGCAACACACGCGAGCTTGACGCATCATTCCGCTAAAGACAGCGAACTCGGCAACCCTGAGGTCTTTTGAACGATGCGCCCGCAATCTGCAGCTTTGAAAACTGCTGCGCTCGGCACAAAGGAGGGCTTCTTGTCTTGAGAGGGGAACATAAGGGAGCCAGGGGAACCCGAGGCAGACCAGGCTGGAGTGGAGGCCTTCCTGCCTGCAGCGAAGCCTTCAGTCGGAAGCTTCGGCGAGCTCAGGTGAGCTCTTTGAGCTCGTCATAGCCCCTCTCTGATTCCGGGCCCAGATGCTGACGCCCATCTGCAGCTGTAAAGCCTGCTCTCTTCCCGGTCTGGGCCGTCGACTTCGTCGATCCCTGATCGTTCCGGCGGATTTCCACGTGTGCATCCACAAGCTGCTTGAGGCCCTGCAATGCACTTGGAGACACGAAAACCGCAAAGCACTCGGAGCCGTGGACCGCGTGCGCGTTTCAACTCTGAGAAGAAGCCAATCCGGGATGCGAGCCTGCGTCGAGGAACGCAGAAAGGGGACGGCTTTTTTGCGCAGCGGATAGGCATTCGAGAACTCATCGTAGCGGCTCTGCAAGTTATCGAACTTGGAGACCCTTCAAAACGATATCCAATCTCTCACGCACCGCTTCGAGGCCTCCGATGCTTGCAATGACATCGATGCCGGCACTTCCGTACTTAATGGAGCCTCGGAAAACACCAGGGCGTGCCGGCAAAACAAGGGGGAAGGCTGGTGCCGGGCAAGCCATGCGTCTGTACCGAGACAAGTCGTGCTGTGTACCCATCTCTGCCGCCTCCGCCTCTTCTCTGCGGCCTCCAGGAGAAGCAAGCAAAAAAAGGCAACGAAGAGAAGCGAGGCCGCGACAAGCTAGAAGCTCCGAAAGGAAAGGGCCGGAGCTGCCACTGAGACCTTCAATGCAAGAAGCAAGTTGGCTCAGGGGTGTCCAGTGCACCAAGTTGCAGACTCTGCAAGAGGCCATGGGCCTCAGGCTAATGGACACCACTGCCCACTCGGCAAAACAAGAAAAGGAGCAAAATTTGTAGGATTAAACCACGATGCTGAGACGGCGGCATTTATGGTCATCCCGAAAGTCCGTAGCACTGCCTCGTCAGACTCGAAATGAAGAACCACTGTCGCAAAAAATGTTTGACTCGCGCTTGCAAGCTACGGCTACTGCCGGTGGAACGAACAGAAGACTATTAGCTCGTCCGTGTCATTGCAGACAGTGTCTCCAAGCAGGTTTGCGATAATTCCCTGTAGGCGTTGCTGCGCTTTGTGCGTAGATTGGACAGCTTAGCTTTGATGGGCCTCAAGATGGAGCAGAAGTACCCGAGCTTGTTCAAAGGTTGCGGCAGCAACCTCACAACGCGGATATGCAAGGTAAGTCGTCTTGAGATCTGCTACGGTTGTGCGAGGGTGTGGCCCAAAAGGCTTGGGAATGCTCTTTCTGTCGAGGCTGGTACCTTTTCGAGCTGTATGTGCGAAACCGTGCTGTCAAAATCAGCTTCTGGGTGCACGTCGCAGACTGGCCGAAGGACTGCAGAACAAAGAGATTGGCAGGGTTTACTGAGACCTGATGCAGCCACATAAGCTGCAGCTTGAACAGCGCTGGCGAGATTCCTCCGAAGCTGGGCTCTTCGACACCCCAGCCCAAGCCAGGCCCATGTAAAGCACCAAGGTTCACCTCCAGACAATTCGCTACGTGTCTCTACGTTCAGGGCCCAGATACCTCGTGCCATAGCTCTCGAATTTCCACAATCCGTGGCTGCGTGGCTTGGAGCAGCAAGAGCTTCACGTCCTGTGATTCCAGCAGATGCCATGGGCGCAGAAGCCTGTCATGCCGGCCCCGCGCCTGCTCACCAGTCACTCCCCCTTGAAAGTATTGATCCAAGGCCTTCGCCACTGCAAGACCTGTACTTCATGTGGAAGCTGAGCATCGAATCAAGCTGCTGCGCGCGCGCGCCTAGATCCTGCACGCGTGGGTCTGCAAGATGTTCGAGGATGCCTCAATGGCTATCACCAGGCAAACAAAATGTGACATCGGAGTTTGCCTGTGCGCGGTCTACTGCTGGTGCGTTGTCTTCGTACTTGGAGGTTGAAATGCGATCTGGCCGATGAGAGATGAAGTGATCCAAGAGCGGAAGAAGGCAGAGCTCAGAGGCTGTCAAAGGCTACAAGAGTTCAAGACTGTCGGTTTACTGGGCTTTGACGCAGGCCTGATGGGCCTAATCTCTTACGTCGATAAAACAACACTTAATGGCGAACTAGCCTAACTAGCCGGCAAGCCCAGCAGCTGATGTTCGCTACAACCATTACACCGACATGAAGCGCACAACAAGAAATGCCCAAGCGAAGGCTCTGGCTCAAAGTTGCGCAGCTCCTTACGAAAACCAAGGCCCGGACTGACGAAGGCCTTGAGCTGTCCTTCCGTGAGAGAAAAGGAATCCAGCTCCTGAACGCAATTTGTTTAAGACCTCCTATGCCTTAGCACAGGCGTCATCGTTCAATCAGCCAAGCATGTGTGAGCCGGCATGTACGCTTCATGTTAGACAGCAAAGCTGCCCGACTTTGGCTCCTGTGCGAGGTGGCCGTGACGCTGCATTGAGGAGCCTGGAACGACGCGATGGGCAGCCTTTCTTCCTTGTTGTGCCTCGACTCGAGGGTGCAACTGATGTTCTGGAAAGTGCTCCGCACGGCTCCCTGAACCTTAAAATCACATCGTCGAATGATATGGAAAGCTTCCAAAGCGCACACCGGGGGCAAAGCGAAGCGCTCTGTGTCCCGCGACGAATTTGCCTTCCGAGACCGATCAATCAAGAGATCAAAAACACACCCCTTCCATCGTGGGGGCGGCATCCCCCCACATATGCCGCGACCTGCGCCCATCCCTGACACGCACTGGCTCGCCCACTGAGGAAAGGCGAAACATGCACGGACAGCACGATCAGGTTCGGCCGATGCGATCACTTAACAGGACGTGGAGCTCTTTAGCTTCGCACTGTGCATCAGTTGTGGATGAAAAGAAGACTGAGTCATTTTTGTCCTGGTTGTCCCTTCTAGGTTGTGTGCTTACGCAGTAAGATCTGCACATCAGCTCGTCCCAGTACCTGTGGCTACCCGATCCTTGCAGTAATTCGTGGCAACTTCTTGTATTCATTTTATCAGTCAGGGTAACTTCCCTCGAATTCGTTCGAAGTTGCGTCATGCGCTTCCCCCCCGCATCGATCCACAGCAGCTCTTTGCATGCACTTCTGCTTGCATCGTTTCATCATCCGCCACGCCTCGTTTCCGTCTCCGTTGCCCGCAGGCCCTCGTGTCTGAGGTTTTCGACCCTAAACCCCAAGCCCTGAACCGTAACACTCATTCCCGTGTTGCAGTGTCAGACTCATGTTTGCTTCGTCCTGTCATCTGCACTTATGTTATTGGCAGTGACATCTCCTGCATTTTGATTTGCCACTGGATCTGCGGTCTACAGGCGCAGTTGCGGAGACCGTTTTGCCAAGACCATGTGCGACGATTCTGGAGGATCTCACATGCGGTCACCCGTGGAATCCACGTGGAACCTTGGCAAATGACGGACCCGCACCTCGTCCGAAGACCAGAACAAACTCTCAGCGGGAACCTTCCATGTTACGGGCTTCTTCCAAAAGCTCTTTCCAAGTCAGCTTAGTATCAGGAGCCAGCACTCGGTGCCTGCAGCAACGCGGTAAGGCTGGAGGCGGCAACAGAAAGGATCCGCGAGCTTGCAAGCAACTCCTCTGCCTGAGCCATCAAGGAGCGTCAATCACTCTCCCACGGTCCAGACTTGGGTTATGGCTGTCATGCCGGCTGGCTTCGTGTCACCGGACCTTAAACATGCTTGAGCTGTGCGCAGAATCCGGCAGGTCCTACCTTATGTGAAGGTCAGGGCGTTGAATGTGGTTGCTTCGACAGAGAGATGCCCGCAAAGACTGTGGCACCCTCGGTGTAACTCGAGATGTTTGAAAGCTGGAAACCAGGAAATGTCCACCTAAGGCCAGCGCAATGAGGAAAAGTCCAGCAGCACCTTCCGTCCGTTCCAATAGCATAAAGGCGAACGACCGGCAAAGTCTCGAGACGGGGTCTCTTGCCCCTGAACCTGCCCTCTTGCCTTGTATTCGCGAGGGCAGATAATTGTGTTTGCTCTTTCACCGGCCAAAGTGTGGTGCATCGTGTGTTCCTCGTCTGACAACATGTTGATAAGAAGATCTTGAACGTCGGGCAAGACACCATGTTGGGTGGGACTCGCATCTCTGGGAACACGTGGACGAGGCGAGCCAAAAGAGATCTTTGGTGGGAGTTGGTGGGCGGGGGTCGTGGGGTGGTCGGGTGGTCGGGTGGTGGAGTGGTGTGGGGCTAGAGTATCAAACAATACACGAAAGATACACTTGCAGATGTCCAGAGCTGCGGGCTTTGACAAGGTTTCTAAATTCTTCCAAGATCGCTCGTGGACCTTCTCAAGGCTCCCTTTGCAGACTATGCTGCAACTATTGACATTGGCTTTGTAAAAGCTTCGGCTTAGGCCCTTGTACAGCGTCGAGTATGACACCGCGTGATAGGCGAATTGGTGCCGAGTTGGGCGGTCCACTCCAAACTAATACAGGTGGGACACCGGTGTCTCCGGCCGGTGCCTATTTCCGGCCTCTGCCCCAGGCTAGACACTAGTATAGGTGGCACACCTCGGCCTGCAATCAATTAATATTTACCGCGCGCTCCGTGCAAAAGACCCAGCAAGCTTGCGGCCGAAGCCACATGGCTACCGGGCCAAGGTGTCCACCCGACTCTTCGTTTTAAACAGGGACTTTGGTGCCTCTGGCCCTGTTTGGGGTGTTCCTGGTAGGCTGGCCTTGTGAGAGGCGATCCATATTGCACATGCGTGTACTTTCTATACGAGCCAATATACGTGGCATGCCGGTGCCTCCAGCCTGTACCTATTTCCGCTAGACGCCATTTACAAGGCCGAATGGAAGCTTAATGAAGCTTTGGTAGTCAATCTAAGACACGCATAAGCTAGCGGGTGGAAGGTTGTCTACAAAGCAATGTACGTGGCACACCGGGGCGTGTGGCCGGTAGATTTTCCCATATAGGGCCGCACCGGTGTTCCTTCATTACAAACAAACATGACCGCGACATTGGCGCCTGAGGCCAGTGCCTGTTTCTGGCTTCCCCCGCACGGCTAAAAACGATCTATATGGTTATGTAAAAGCTTCATTAGGTATTCCTTGTGACACACCCAGTAAGCTAGCGACCACATGTGCAGTCCCGCCTAGCGACCTAGAATGCAAACGGCATGCCAAAGGGCAAATGTTTGGGGGAAGGTAGGTTGTTTTCGAGAGAACCGCGACGAGGAGGGTTTAAGAGCAGCAAGGCACAACGGCTGAGCACGAAATGACTTGTGTTTAATGGCCCGTTCGGCGACGCATCATGCCTCATCCCACTCTCCTACAATTCGCAGGGAAAAACGTCGGCGGTGAAAAACTCAATTCTCATCGGCCCCGTGATTCCCAAAGTTCAAGCAAGGGTGCTGTTTGGTGTTAATTGTTGAGATCGACCAGAACCGAGAGGAGAAGTAACAGGTCTACCGAAGCGCGAAGCTTTACTTACGCACGCCCTCTACATTACGTGTGCTAGCAAGAGACTGAGATCGACAAGATGACCACCAGATTCCATGCAGGATTGGGTGCCGTCCACTTTCGCCACGAGTCGGATTACTTACGATCCCCAGATATAAATATGGATAGATACATATGTATGCATGTATTTAGCTATGTATGTATGTATGTATGTCTGAAAAAGAGAAATATGTGTATATATATATAAGAACCTAACGATCGTCACAGTTCGAACACTCACTGAGCAGCAGAGCAGTCACGCACCCTTTGTGCTCGACCGCAACCTGGGCGTGAGTTGAGCGATCTCACATCGAACAAATCTTCAAACTGTAATCATCAGTCTGAACATCCGCGGCGAAAGGAATTGAAGGATCCAATGCCCATTCGTTCGGCCCACATCGTCGGCATCGATCGGATGAACGAACAGCCAAACGCTTGAAAACAGTTACATGGGCGAAGTGGGCGGGATACAAAAATTTCGGGCGATCGCCTGGAGCCAACATGGCCACGGCAATCGCCAGATCAAAGCTGTTTTATAGACGGAAGAGACTGATCTCTAAGTTCCGACCAACTTAACCGCTAAATGAAGAACCAGTTCCTAACGATCGATACCGTTCGAACATGTGCTGAGCAGCAGAGCAGTCAAACGCACTTTGCGCTCGACCGCAACATTGAGTAAGTCGAGCGACCTCACATCGAAAAGCCCCCAAATGGTTTGAACATCCGCACGCCGGTCGAGGCAAAAGGAATGGAAGGGTCCAACATCCATTGCATTCGACCAAGGTCGTCGGCATTGATCGGATGAACGAACAGTCACACACTCAAAACCAATTCAACGGGCGGAGTGGGCGAGCTAAAAAAAAATTGTTCGGGCGATCGCCTGAAGCCAACATGGCCACGGCAATCGGCAGATCAAAGCTGCTTTATCGACTCAAGAGACTGAGCCCTAAATTCCAACCAACCCAATCATCAATTGAGGAACATATCATTTATGAATATAAATATATATATATATATGATGATGATGATGATGACGACGACGACGACGACGACGACGACGAGGATGATGATGATGATGATGATGAATTAGCTTCCCGTAACTCTCGTAAGCAGAATTCTCTACTCGCCTGTTTGGATTCACGACTCTCGGAAATCGATCGCACGCATAGTAACTCCTCCCCCGAATACCTTTTACGAGGGTGTCCCGTTGCAGGGAGACTAAGCAAGCTGAAGACATGCTTCAACTGGCCGCCGCACATGCACGTGGTGCTCCCCGAGACAGAACTGGACGGCGCCTTGCTGCAGGGCACAACACAAATGCCGACCTGGAGCCCACGCTGAAGGACCTGGGAGTACAGGACTTGGCACTCCGCGTCGGAGAAGGCAGCTCTCGCAGACCGGAGCCCCTGATGGGCGATGGATGTAGGGTGCAAAGACGAAGAAGACACAAAAGACCTCCACAACCTCCAGCAACACCACCTGAGTTCGATGGGCGAAGCCGGCAAGGCAACACGAAGCAGCCGAAAGCGGAAACGGTGCCCATGAGGGGCCCACTCATCTTCTTCGCTGTCATCTCCTGCACATGCCACTTTTGTTCAGTGCATCCGTGCATCCGCCCTCGGCCGATCAAATCAGACTGGTGCCTTCTGAATCCGAAGATCCCCAGCCGCGGAAAACACTTCCTAACAGGACCATACAGCAAAACCATGCACAAGCATGAGCCTCATGGACTGCGTCAACAGGAATCGAACTGATAAGCAGAGAGACGTAACATCTTGCACACCGGCAAGCCGCAGCATTGGATCACCAGACGCAGTACCGCAATGTCTTGTCGTCACCATGTCAATACAACCTACATCGCTTCATGCGCCCTCCGACCCACAATGATGCCGACCAAAGCGTCCAATGCTACTAATCTTCAATCCGTGTAGCATAGTGCAACAACAATCGCTGGGCTACCTCTCCGCTGAAGGTGGCATGCTCGGCAAAGTTGCCACAGGATGCTTTGTTGAACTCACTAGCTCATAGGCTGGCAGGACAAGCTTTGCTGCATGGAACCCCGAAGCATTGGGCACTCACAAGTCTATAGCAAACGATCCACTTTCCAGCACCCTTGGTAGCGAGCCTGTTGTCCAGATTCGGCGACTAGAGCGCACACCGGGATCTAAACAAACGCTGGGCAACACATCTCGAGCTACGTCGCCACCTGCCGGGGCCAGTTTGGCTCCAGGACAGGATAAGAACACCTCTCGAGCAGCACTAGGACTAACCACTCCTCCCATGTAGAGCCTTTCGGCTGGTCTGGGAAGCGAAGCCTTGACTCTGACCTATTCTCACCGTTCTTCGGCGAGGATCAAACAACCTTCGGACTCAGGTTCCTTCTCCACGCGTCAGCGCCAGCCGGGACTTCTGAACTGCCTGCTCTGAAAAAGCAACGTGTGAGCTCTCCTCCCCACCTTCGAGCAAGACGGCCCGGGCCCCACCCCTGTTTCTTTCTGAATCGTCTTGATGTCCGTCTTGTCCGTCGGGACAACCGCCCATGCCTTTCCGGCAGAAGGTGAGCAGCCTATGACACCTCCCAACTCGCCCTTGACCTGTGAGGCTTTGCCAGCTCGCGGAACTGCACCTTCTGCTAGAATGGTGGCCTGGATCAGTCAACCAGGCAAGGGTGCCACAGCTCCACACCTGCACGGGCTCAGCGCCAAACCAAATGTCGGCGAAATCGCTGCCTTTCCCCGTCACTCAGGAAAGTGACTTCGAGGGTGGATCCAAACTGAAGTCGAACCTGGGCAGCACTCCGAACAGTTGCTGGCCACGGCCACGGATGGAACCCCCGTCCTTGGGGCTTGCTTCGGAGAGGAACCAGACTCCTTGCAAGTCCTCCAAATCCCATGGACCGTGCAAGGCCTCAGCACAGCAGAGTCCGAGTCCGAAGGAAGCGAATCGTAACCATAACCGCCCCACACAGCGGAGCCTGGCCTCGCACTTGTCGGCATGGTCATTGGAGGTGGCCACCACGCTTTCGCTGAAGTCCGGCAACCGGTCGTCTTCTGAGTCTGTATCCAGGCTTGCCTGGGTAACCTCCCGTTCGTAGTGGACTTCGTCGTCCGACCTGCGATGCAATGCACACACATGCACTTTGCTTTGACTCGCACTTGCACCTCCAAAACTTTGACCAGAAGCTGTTGAACGAGACGACCTTTGCTTCTCAGCTCGCAGAAAACGACGCTCCGCTTCAAAGCTTGCAAACCGGCGCGAGTGATAGAGAGTTTGGCTGTTGAGCGGCAGTTACGCTGCATCGCGTCAGGACGAGCATGTCCAGCTGCGCGTTTAGCCCAAGGCCGCCCGTGCTCTGCACGAATGTTACGCTGACCTCGGTTTGCTCTGCGGCGCGACAAAGCTCGATCTGAGGGTCCCCCCCGAGATGTCTGAGTGCTATTTAAGCACATCTGAAGGAGGGGGGACTTGCATCCCATCCCGACGGCTCGTGCAGGCTCACAGACTCACAGATTACATCATCGGTGCAGCTGCGACACCAGCGGAATGCCACCCCTGCGGACTTGACAGGTCTCGCGGAGGGACTCCAGCGAAGTAGACTTCACTGCCGACTCCAGAATTCCCCGTGCACGCATCCGGATGGATGCCGTCTCCTTCCTTGGCTCGACATTGAGATACATGACAACTTGGGAAAGTATTGCTGGCGAAAAGTCACTAGCAAGCCTTCCGTCATGTCTGCGCGAGGTCCGGAGTGACAGATCGAAGCAAAACTGCTGCCTAGGCTCTTTCCATCCTCTTCACCGGTATCTTTTTGCTTACGCGGCACTTTGCGCAAAACCTAAAGCACCGAAATTTGCACTTGCAGGCGGGATCGACTTCGTCTTCTGTCTACCGGTCACAGCCTACTGGCTTACTCCCAGGCCTCTTGGAAGGAACGCCGACGTCCCGAACTCTCGAATACCAAACGCTGGAATTTCAATCCTTCGTCTCCATCCCAGACCAAGCATAGGATCTGGCGCATCCTCACACAGATGCTCTGAGGGCATTAGGACACGATCTTGGCGGCCTTTGACACTCATGCTCAAGCACCGAGCAGGCTCAGTGTCCTCAAGTCGAAAATCACGCGCTTCAAGTCTTGCATGTTGCGCGGCTCAGACAGCACATGAAGATCAGCAGGTTGCGGCATTGCTGATGCTCTGTCCGGCGCTCTTAGCAGGATCATGCGGAACCGAGTAGTAGTGACGAGCAAGCACCGCGTGTCCTGATGCAGTACGAACCGATGGCGATCATTCAAGAACAGCTGTTCGTGGGCAGCATATAAGCACGAACTGGGACAGGCCTGGATGTCTCCTCCTAGCCGCGTCCACACAAATCCGACGGTGGTGACCCGCTCAGTGCTCAGGTTCAACTTCGGGCCACGATGCGAAGAGAATTCGAAGCTCCCCTCCTGCACTGAAGCGAGACATCGCTCAATGTGTAATGTGCCAGCAGTGACCTCCATCATCTTCTGCACATGGGCTCGAAGGCAATCGGCACCTCTCTCGGCCTGACAAGTCACGCGGCGTATTTCTAACGGCAGGGGTTCCCAACTGTTTCAGGCCTGCAGCTGCGCAACGCGGGCTCGGGGAACCAGTTGAGCTCCCTCTGTCATGGCTTGTGAGATCGCTTCACAAACGTCGTAGTCGCAGGATCCGGAGGCGGCATCCTGACGAGCCCGGGGACATGTAGTCCCACCCCCCTTCCCACGGACATCAAGCAGGTGCGCTTCGAGTTTTCATGACTTCCGTGTACATCTTAGTCAAGTCTCTACTCTAAAGATCTGCCTGCGATCCGTAAACAAGAGAAACGTCAAGGCAAGAAGCACTCGGATGGACCCCGACAGCTCTCTTCCGGGCTAAAGCCTGATGTCCAAGGTCGCCAAAACAAGTCGGACCGTTCACTGGGGGATGCCCATCGTTGACTCATCGTTGTGACATCTACTAAAATGCAAAACCATGTGCGCGTGTTGCGGCACCCTGTGGACCAGCCGGTTCTCCACACTCCTCTGTGCCGATTCGTTGGGATCATCGTGACTCGACAGCTGCGAAGCTGCACATATGCAACCAGCGCATGCTGCAAATTTTTGTGTCGTCACAATCTCGGAGCTTCCGAGTTCTGCGATCCAAAGCCCCCAACTTAACGGCCACAACTGGAAACGACACAGCGACTCGTGCAGGCCTCCGTTGGGCCGACTTCGGAGTTGGATTTGCCGGTCAGCGTCCTCAGCCCGAGATGGCAAGCCGGAATACCTAAAGATCAAAGGCTAGGTAGAGCAGTCCTTTGTGTTTCAAAAGCCCTGCCGACGTGAACTGCAGAGATTGCGAACCAACATGAATCAAATCTAGTCGATGAAGTTCACAACTTAAGCCGAGCTTCATCAATGCAGCCAGCGCCGTGACGCACTGGTTGATGATTCCCGAGATGACCCGAACAGGAATCTGCACAAAGCACTAATCCGCAAAGGACAGGCCATCTTCAAGGTGTTCAATCAAGTTCTCCAAGGAAAAGAAGACTGCTCAGCTGGTTGTTCTACCACCCTGACAGACCCTACACCTTGAATCAGGCCTGAGCTTCCCATCCCCACGAACAAGAACCTCCCAGCAATGATGTGGCCGCCCTGACACTCCCCCATCAAGCCAGAATCAGTTGGAAAGCTTCAACGTAACAGTGTACACTTTTGCGTGCAGTGCACTGGACTAAATGCACACAGAAATACGCGCCTCTGTGTCTCTTGTGGCACTTCTGAACGCTATAGCTTCCTCGCAGCAAGTGCTCCGTTGTCTGGGTTCGAGATACAGCGAGCTATCACTCACCAATACGGTCACCTCCACCACCACCACCACCACCACCACCACCACTGCCAGGCTTACATCGACATCATCATCATCATCACCATCATCAAGAGTCATCATCATCACCATGATGAATCACGACAGTGTCAACAGCAGCAACAACAACAACAACAACAGCAACAGCAACAGCAACAACAGCAACAGCAACAGCAACAACAACAGCAGCAGCAGCAGCAGTGGTGAGCGTGTCACCGCTCAACATTACCATCGTCGTCACCACATCCACTCGTGAACGGCCTGGTGCAGGGCATAGAGGAACAAATGCACCAGGGCTTTGATGGTGATGGGCGGAATGATCTCAGCAACAACGGCTGCTCGAGCGTCCTGTCGTGTCATGACCGCGAGTGTTGCACTTGAGATGCCTGCACGAACATACGTGCAGCTTGCCTGTGACAGTGTGTTAGCCCTGCGCTTGTCAGCATTCGAGGCAAGGAGGACATTCGTATTCAATGCGTCTCCTGAACGCAGTTGCCACTTCGAGCAAGACGATCTGGCAATGAGCTTTCAAGTGAAAGGCGATCGCATGTCCTTGCTCGCCATCATCGACGTTCTGTGGAATCGGAAGCGCCACAGCATCCTTGTGGCTAGGACTCTGCCCATTTTGCGGGCCAGCTCTCTCCTGAATCGAGGGGAGGAATGGGTTTAGCCCCGCGGTCCCGCGCACGAGTTTCCGCCAACGAAAGCTGGCCTTGTCCGAAATGGCCGTGGCACTGTGAGAGTGATGGTGATGGTGATGACTGGCCTTTGCAATCTACCAAGACGGGGTGAAAATGTAAAGTTCTATGCTGCATGTGCCTGGTTGGAGAGCGACACGCATCTCATCTCATTGTCAAAGATACCCTGCACGAGCGCCATACACAGGCTGGCGAAGTCTTGGAAGACGAGCACCTGGCAACTGAAGGGTTCTTTGACGTTTTTGGAATTTAGGTCGTTTTAAATTACACCAGCGAAGACCCCAAACAGCAATAAACCAATCAAGATGTTGCGTGAATTTCGAACAA